GTGAGGCTCCTAACAGCTACATTCGTGATGATTTTGCAGTCGGCGTTTTTCAGACCCAGCGGGCGAGTATTGGCGGGTGCAAGGGCGACAAACGTGGCATCTTCTGGGGCCTCACCCTTGGCGATAAAGACTCCTCGAACATGGTTAAAGTCGAACGGCATCGAGTTCCCCTGCAGGATCCAGGCTAGGGTATCAGCCAGAGCAAGTGCTCCAGCGGGATGATGAGCCCATGCAGCGTACGGGAGCCCATCTGGGCCAGGAACACTCTTGGGAAGCCTGCGGAGGGCCTTCTGGATTTGTTCGAGATCAGGGGGCTTGATGTTGGAAAAGTCATGCTTGATCCCGAAACGCTCGATATACATTGTGGCCTGGGGCTGCTCGATGGGCTTCTAACTAAAGACTCCCCCCCCCCAATGGTGCGCAAGCTGGTCCAGACACTCCTGCGGATCAGATGTGATTCCACCCCCTGGAAGATGGGCGCCTTGCAGACAAAGCTGTCTCCCGAAAGGAAGCCAGAGTCGTCCTCGTCGCTCGAGGCCTCTAAGTTTACGTCTCAGTCTTGCTTGCACCTTTGCTGGGGACGACTCTCCTGCTTGCTGACGGGTACGCTGAACAGCAGCTTGGTTGAGCCTGAAGTTCAGCTCATTGGTAAAGATCGTGAAGGCATCGGGATCTGCGATCTCGACGGCACCAGAAAGAGGCTGCACTCGAATGAAACGCCTGGCCAGAGGGTGAGAACGTTGGAGTTTTTCCGCGAGCCCACGGTCCTGCTTCCAAGCCGCCCTCCCGATAGACCTGGAGACAAACAGCTGGGCAAGAAGACTTTGAGGTTTACGGAATACGATGGTGCCCCCGGCAACTCTGGCAGCTTCTTTCATAACAGACTTGTGAAAGGCGAGAATCTCTGGCTGCGTCATCTCGGCGCAGTCGACCTGCCGCAGAACCTGCGAGATAAAAGCCTGATACTCGGGGCGCTCAAATACTTCTGGGTGGATCGGGCGGTCCTCAGGGTCCAGTGGCTTGCGGGGACAAATGGTCAGGATATGTGCAGCATGATCAGAAATCGCTTTTCGATGAAGGACCTCGGGGAGGCCGCGGACCTGACTCGAGACTGCCGCCTGCGCAATAGCCCACCCAGGCAAACTGACAAAGGCACGGTCAATCTTCGAAAGCGTACACTGCGCAGCACAGAAATGCGTGTGGTCCTCTCCCTCCACCTCCACCATGGCAGAGAAAACTCTCGCCCACCCCGAACTCCTCTCCCTCCTCCATTGTTGGTCTCGCTCCACCTCTTGCCTAATCTGATCGCCCCCCGCAGACGGCCCGTCAGCGCGAAGCACAGCAGGAGGTTCACTGGCTAGGTTGAAATCGCCGTGCACGATGACTAGGCACTCGCCTGGTCGGGTAGCTGCAGCCTGCTGATCGGCAAGAATGGACCTGATAATCCCACCAGCCCTTCAGGGCGCGAGTGGTTTAGCGAGCCCCCTCTGTCCTCAACCCCCCTTCTTCCCCTTCAGGGAGGGGTTTACCCCTCCCCCTACCCCCTCCCCCTGGGTCTGGCGAGGGCGGGCCGCGGGTGGTTGGAGGGGTCTTTTTCGACTCCAGGGAGGGCCAAAAAACGACGACCCTCACGAGGATTCCGGCCCCGACGGGGGGGCGCACTTGGGACCCTCTCCTCTTCTGTGAAGCCAAAACCCTTGCTTGTACGAAGGTTTCGGCCCCATTTTGGCCTCCCGAGGGGGCCGCGCTCATCTTCCTTCATAGCAAAATCATTGATTTTACGAAGGCTTTGGGCTCATTTTGTCCTTCTCAGGGGGCAGCGCTTCTTTGCGCTTCTGAGGAGGTCGCAAGAGGCCCCAAGATGGCCCCAAGAGGCCCCCAGGAGCCTCCCAAGAGCCCTCCAAGAGGCCCCCAAGAGGCCCCCAAGAGGCCCCAAGAGGCCCCCAAGAGGCCCCCAGGAGGCCCCCAGCCCCCAGAGGCCCCCAGAGGCCCCAGGAGGCCCCCAAGAGGCCCCCAAGAGGCCCCCAAGAGGCCCCCAAGAGGCCCCAAGAGGCTCCAAGAGGCCCCCAAGAGGCCCCACGAGGAGCCCGAACGACTCACACCAGGACGCGAACGACTCACACCACGACTCACACCACGAAGGAAGAGCCCGAACGACTCACACCACAAGGAGGGGCCCGAACGACTCACACCAGGACGAGGCGCCCGAACGACTCACACCACGAGGAGCCCGAACGACTCACACCACGACGCGGGCCCCGAACGACTCACACCACGAGGAGCCCGAACGAGTCACACCAGGAGGAGGGGCCCGAACGACTCACACCAGGACGAGGGGCCCGAACAACTCACACCACGAGAAGCCCGAACGACTCACACCAGGACGAAGAGCCCGAACGACTCACACCACGAAGAGCCCGAACGACTCACACCAGGAAGAATGGCCCGAACGACTCACACCAGGACGAGAAACCCCAAACGACTCAAATCACGAGGAGCGCTTTCTCCCCCTCCTCCTCCGCCTCGTCCTTCTCCCGCCCCCCCCCCCCCACAAGGAGGATGTGCAAGGGGGCGGGATGAAGGAAGAGCAGGGGAGATATGCGGGGCCAAACGGACACACGCCTGTAAACAAACACGACTGTCGGCATGCTTCGCATGAGTTGCTGTTGTGAGATGGGCTGGTGGGGATGCGCGAAGCGTAAAGAATTTCATCCCGAATCGGAATCGGCAAACCGAAGTTGTGTATGTTATAGTGAATGACCTGGACATTATCCCCACATGTTAGATGTAAACGCAAAGCTCTTCCTCTAGCCGAAATCTGCCGATCCTCAACAGGCGGGAACCGATGGCCAAGGTTCCCGACATCTGGATAAAAGGTCACCACACCTCCTGCAGGGTGACCTGGAACAGCAGGGAGAAACGAGCCGAACGCCTTAAACGTTTTGCGAGCATTGTAAAGGACATCGTTGACCTCGCGCATTGACCCATGAGCCTCTTGGACCCCCACAATAGCACCAGGAACCAGGAGATCCCGGAGATAAGTAAGCTTTCTAGATCGGGTAGGGAGATCATTGTGGAATAACGCACGGGCGTTCCAGGATATAGAGGAAAGAGGCATCGGAATAGCCGAAATCGACCCAGACGTCCCAGGGGAGGATGACGGCCTGGCAGTCCCAGGGGTCGTCCCAGAAGAACCTGACGGACCCGAACACTTAAGAGGTGACCCCGAGGAGGTCCCAAGCCTGGCAGCCTTAGACGACGAGCCAGAAGACCCAGAAGGAGACCTTGGAGATCCTGGTGGAGCCCTCGGAGCAGTAGACGAGCAAGAAGACCCAGAGGCTCTGGTAGCACACGAGGATTGAGAGGAGGTCGCTCCAGTCGGCACAGAAGGGGACGGAGAACGGGAGGAAGAGGAGGAGGAGTCCGATGAACTCGAAGTCGCTGATGAACCAGAGAAGGCAGGCGGGGGGACACGCTCAGAGCTGCTTGCCGCCGAAGCTGGTGGTCGGGACGTGGGCGCTCCCGCCCATGCTCGCATCACCGCGCTAAAGGCTCCGCTGTGTAGACGTTGTCTGCTGCTGGATCGCGGGTAGGATCGCATTCTCGATCTCAGCTCGATTAAGTTCCAACGCCGCAATGTTCTCGACAGCCCACTCCACGGTAGTCGGTTGCTCTTTGTGCAACACCACCCGAAGTATTGGCTTCCACTGATGGCTGGGTTCTCCTCGATGTTTGTTGGTGAAGACTTCCTTCTGCGGGGAAGCTTGGATGAAAGCACGCTTGATGGCCTTAAGAGTGATCTCTGTTCGAACCTGCGCCTGCGACTTGTCAGGGCCAATGTGCAACTCCTGCTGAACTCCAGACGTGTCAGCCACCACAAACCTGCGCCAGTCGTTGGGCCCGCGCTTGAGACACATGAGCGCCTTAGAGGTACGGCGGGCCGCCAGACCTGCTTGCCCTCTGAATTGGATGTCGAAGCGCTTCGCCGCGGGCTCTCCGACAATCTCATATTCTGATGGCGGACAGTTGACAGCTTCCATCCATTCCTGAATAGCGAAATTGACCTGCTCTTTAGTAACCAGCGTGCGGCACCTAGCCACCGCAATGGTGGGATTGGGGTATCTGTCGAAGTTCGTGTCAGTCTCAATCTTCGGTTTCTCATTTCGCATGATGCCGAGGGTGTCCTCCAGCTGTTTGATCCTCTCCTCCAAGGAGTTCGTGTACTGCTCAATCTTGTTTTGTCTAACTTCGACCGTTCCCATTCTGCGTTCAACCTGAGACCCCAAACTTGTACACGCCGTCTGCACCGTAGATGCAAGCGAAGATACATGTGTGCGGATGGCGCCGATGGAATCCATGAGTGATTTCTGAACCTCACCAATATAGTTCTTGAGTTCGTGAGCTTCTTGCTCACCTGGCGGGAATGTCGGGGGCTCCCAGAATTCGCCCTCAGCTTCGTCGTACGAGTCGATAGCACCATTTCCTTTGCCTTCCTTGCCTCCCTTCAGCCATGTGTGGGCGGGTGCCTCAGGATGATGAGAAGCACCACCATTCTCAGGAACGGCACCCAGCTGCGCATGCTCTGGCATCGCGTCGTCCTTACAGACCAAAGTCTGCGAGCGGGCAGCCCGTCGCGAAACAAGAGTGTACAGTGGTGACCGCGGGCAAAGCCCCAAGCCGTCGGAGCCAGACAGGCTACGGACGGGCCGAAAGCTAATCGCTGATTCTCGGGCGTCTATAGCCCTTCACAACGTTTAGCCTTGAGCCAAAATGGCTACGGACCCTCCTCCTCCTCCTCCTCCTCCTCCTCCTCCTCCTCTTCCTCCTCCTCCTCCTCCTCCTCCTCCTCCTCCTCCTCCTCAGTGCCCGAGGCAAGGGCGTATCGCACAAGACCCCGAGAGGCGCCACGCAACATCAAGGTACCCCCCCCCCGAATGCTCCCAGTGGTGGCGCCTGTCGCCGTCGTCCTCGTGCCCCTCCCCCTCTCGGCAGGGGTTCGCCTTCTGGCGGGGCGAGCGAAGGTGACGGCGTTGCGCCAGCGGACAGCCTTAGAGCACTGCTGGTGCCACACGCGCACACACACACACACACACACGAGCACGAACACGTTATCCTTCGATCTCGGTGGCACTGGCCACACACATGCCCACGCGTCCCTTCCCCCCTCTCCCAAAACAGGAGCAGCGACTGGCGAAACTATGATGGAGATTGGTAGGGTATGGCAGGAGAAATAATGTCTGTAATGGAGGAAGGAGGAGGCGATAGAGGAGTGGTGTAGCACCAGTGATTATGCCCAAAGCGAGGGCTCAGAGGAAGCTCGGGACAAGTTAGCGTAGTATCTATTCCAAGCTAGCGAGCGCCAGTAGTCCCAGGCTGCATCGAAGTGAGCCGATGTCGGTATCAGATTTGTAAGGACGTGCTGAATTACAGGGAAGGTGCTTCGAGAGAGAGAGAGAGAGAGAGAGAGAGAGTGCGCCAGAAGGAAGATATCGCCATACCCTTGACGATTCGCCAACCTCGCTGTTTGGAAATGGGCTGTACGGCGGTTTCTGGCAGCATTTGTGGAGACCCTGGATCCACAAACATGGGCATCTCTATACCATTTGGACGAGGCTACTTCGGGAGCGACTCGAGCAGCTAAGCGATCAAGATTCCTCCGATTGCCGATCTATGCCAGCCGAGTGCCATGTGCAGACGCTGGCGGGCTGCGTGCGTGCGCCCCTCTGCTTCGCGCGCAGCAGCGTCCGCAAGCTGCCGCTGGGCAGAATCGCTGAAAGACCCATGAGGTCGGAGCAGGGACAGAAAATACATCCTTCAAGAACACGAGACCCTCCGCCAGGACAGGATATTCATCCTTCGGGGTACCCGTCGCCAGGATGCACAAGAGCATACAACAAACGCGACGAACATGAGGGTACCCTCCCCGATCCGACCTCGATCTTACACAACGGTCCGACCGCACTCCCCTGCCCCACCGTATCAACCAGCCTTGCTCTCTTCCTCCGTCTCCCCTCCTCCTCCTGCCCCTCCTCCACCTGCTCCTGGCCCGCATCCTTTACGGCCTCCTTCTTTCTTGACGCCTCGCTGAGCTTGCGTCCATCTGGGTATTCGCCAGCAGGCTGGAGAATGCTGAAGAAAAACACGCCTGAACATCATACAATCCTTTGCGTGTGCTGCCGCCGGCTGGTTTCCCCTCCTCCTCCTCCTACTCCTCCTCCTCCTCCTTCTCATCATCCCTCTCCTCCTCCTTCCTCCTCCTCCTCCTCCTCTCCTCCTCCCTCCTGCTCCTCCTGCTCCTCTTTCTCCTCTTTCTTCCCTCTCCTCCTCTCCTCCTCCTCCTCCTCCTCCTCCTCCTCCCTCCTCCTCCTCTCTCTCCTCCCTCCTCCTCCTCCTCCTCCTCCTCCTTCCTCCTCTCCTCATCCTCCTCCTCCTCATCATCATCATCATCATCATAATCAAGAGCATCATCCTCAGCATCAGCATCACCATCAGCATTAGCATAGTCGTCGCCACCACGATCCCCATCCCCGTCACCATCATCATCATCATCATCATCATCATCATCATCCTCATCCTCATCCTCATCCTCATCCTCATCATCATCATCATCATCATCATCATAATCAAGAGCATCATCCTCAGCATCAGCATCACCATCAGCATTAGCATAGTCGTCGCCACCACGATCCCCATCCCCGTCACCATCATCATCATCATCATCATCATCATCATCATCATCAGCATCATCATCATCATCATCATCACATCCTCATCCTCATCCTCATCCTCATCCTCATCATCATCATAATCAGCAACAGCATCAACACCACAACCACCACCATTATCACCACCACGAATACCACCACCACCATCATCATCATACTCATCATCATCTTTGTCACCATCATCATCATCATCAGCATCATCTTCTTCAGCACCATCATCATCAACATAATACTCATCATCACCATCATCATCATCATCGTCGTCATCGAAATTATCAGCATCACCATCATCACCACCATCTTCATCATCATTATCATCATCCTCATACTCATCGTCCTCCTCCTCCTCATCATTATCATCGTCATTATCACCATCATCACCATCATCATCATTATCATCACCCTTAGCATCATCATCAGCACCAGCATAACTATCATCATCATCAGCAGCATCATCGTTATCAGCATCATAATCATCCTCAGCATCATCATCAGAATTACCATATCCTTCGCCATTGCCCTCACCATCATTATCATCATCATCATCATCATCATCATCATCATCAGCATTAGCATTCTCTTCATCATGATCATCATCATCAGCAGCACCATCATCGTCATAATCATCATCTCCATCACTATCACCATCATCATCACCACCATCATCACCACCTTCACCATCACCATCATCACCATCACAGTCAGCCTCATCGTCAGCAGCATCAGCATCATCCACATCATCATCATCATCATCATCATCATCATCATCATCATCATCATCATGATCACGATCATGATCATGATCACGATCACCATTACCATCACAATCACTATCACCATAACCACCACCACCATCATCATCAGCATCGTCAGCATCATCATAATCAACATCATCCACATCATCAGCATCATCATCACCATCATCACCATCACCATCAACAACAGCATCATCCCCATCATTAACATTAACATCAAACTCATCAGCATCATCATCACCATCGACATCACCATCGACATGCCCCATCGTCACCATCACCATCATCATCACCACCATCATCATCATCATCATCATTATTATTATTATTATTATTATTATTATTATTATCATTATCATTATTATTATTATTATCATCATCATCATCATCGGGGCGAGGTGAGGACGAGGTGTGCCTCGCCCTCACCTCATCATCACCATCATCAGCATCATCAGTATCATCAACATCATCATCATCCGCATCATCAGTATCGTCATCACCATCATCACCATCACCATCAACATCATGATCATCATCAACATCAAAATCATCAGCACCATCATCACCATCGACATCACCATCACCATCGTCACCATCGTCACAAACACCATCACCATCACCATCACCATCACCATCACCATGACCATGACCATGACCATGACCATGACCATGACCATGACCATCATCATCATCATCATCATCATCATCATCATCATCATCATCATCATCATCATCATCATCATCATCATCGGGCCGAGGTGAGGACGAGGTGTGCCTCGCCCTCACCTCGCCCCGCCTAGAAGGTTTCCCACCGCTAGGCGCACGACTGGGAGACGCTCATCGACCTCCTCTCGCTGCCCTTCTCCTCTCTGTGCCACCCCCGCGCACCGCGGTGCGCGACTCGCGATGATCATCGCGGCCTCGCGCCGCCCCACTGAGGAAGAGCAGCTTTCCAGCCCAGCCCGCCACGCGCGACGCGCGATCATCGTTGCGCCCCCGGGCGGAGGCACCGCTGGGAGAGGGCCGTGCCCGCGCGGCGGCACGCCCGAGGGGCGCGTGCTGCACGGTCTGCTCTGCCCCTCCGCCCCTCCGCACCTCCGCTCCCGCGCCGCGCCTCTGCTCTTCGGCCCCTCAGCCCCCGATCCGCCCCTCCGCTCACCACTCGCCCCCCTGCACCCTCCGCCGCCGCTGCCGCTGCCGCAGCTCCGCCCTCCTCGACTGCACGCACGAGTGGCCCTGGGCATCAGCGACCTTTGGTGCGCGGCTGCAGGGGGCCGCGAGTAGGCCAAATCCACGCACGCCGAGTCCACGCGCGCCCTGTGAGCCCGCACCCGAGGGTGCTCCGGCGAAAAGGTCACTGCTACGTGCAGCCGACCTCCGCCCTTCGCCTGCGCCCTCCGTGCGCAGCTTCAGGGGGGCCGCCATCCAGGCGCGCAGGCGAGTGCTCTGTGTGCCCGCGCCGAAAACCACTCCGGCGGAGGCCCATCCTTCGTACGGTCGGACCTGAGACAGAAGAACAGCCCTCGAGGACGCGAGTCCCTCGGCCGGCCAGCACACTCACAGAACATCCACGGGCACCCTCCCCAGGGTGCACCAGAACAACCAACAAGCACGAAGAACACGATGGCACCCTCCCCGAGCCGACCTCGATCTTCTACCTCGTTCCAACTGTGCCTGCAGCCGAGCCCTGCCCGTCCGGCCAGCCGGGGCGGCACCGCGCCGGGCAACCGCTGGGGCCGCCGCACGGGCGCCACGCCCGGGGTGTGCGGCGTGTGCGGCGACCTGCCCGGCGTGTGGAGCCGCTGCGGGGCCTGCATGACCACGGTGCTCACCACCCCGCCGGGCGAGGCGGGCAGCCGCAACGAGGCCTGGCGGGGCCGCTGCCGAGTGGGGCGGCGTCGGCCGAGCTGTGCGGGCCTTGCACGAGCGCGTGCGCGCCGCGTGCGCGTGCGCGCCGCGCGCGCACGCAGCGAGCATCTGGGCACGCACGCGCTCCTGGCTGCCCGCGCGCGTGCGAGCTGGCGCGCCGTGGGCGCCAACTCGCTGGAGCCGCGCGCCTGATCTCAGATCAGGCTCGCGGCTCCGGCGTGCCGCCGCCGGTGCGCGCGCGCGTGACCCTGTGGCATCGTCTGGACGGCCCTGAAGCCTGGTGCCGCCAAACGGGCGATTTTGACCCCCTGTTTCCTGCTCCGGAGGCTCTCACCGATCGATCCGGCTCGAAAAATGGTGAAGCAAGAAAAGGCCCAGAACCTGTTGTTTGGTGGCGCCGGATCTCAGGGAAGTCAGGGAGGAAGGGGAGCGATGGGAGCGAAAGAGACAAGTGCCTGCGAACTTCAGATCGAGTTTCGAGTTTGCTTTCACTGGGGAGGGGAGAGGACGGGAGGGGAAGCAGATAGAGATGAGAGGAGCAGCAAAGAGAGAGAGAGAGAGGGAGAGAGAGAGACACACAAACAAACAAAAAACGGCGCCAATAGGCGCCACCAGCAAAAGGGCCAGGCAGGAACAGGGGAAGTGCAAGGGCCCTGCCACCCTGCGGTGCCGGAGGGGGTTTAATCCCCCCCCGTGGGGGCCGACTGCGGCAAACGTGAAAGAGCCTCAGTACATGGAAAGCTGGTCTCCTGGACAAGCCAAGGGCCCTCGCGCGACGCAGCGTGCCTCTGACCGTGCAGCAGGTCCCAATCTGCCCCAGTGCTTGATGGGCCTGTTTTCCACCACCACCACCATAAGATGGAGGGGGAGGGGGTCCTCCTCCTCCTCCTCCTCCTCCTCCTCCTCCTCCTCATCCTTCTCCTCCTCCTCCTCCATCTCCATCTCCTCTTCGTCCTCCTCTTCGTCCTCCTCTTCGTCCTCCTCCTCCTCCTCCTCCTCCTCCTCCTCCTCCTCCTCCTCCTCCTCCTCCTCCCCCGTCCACCACAGGCCCATCAGTGCTTGCCTGGTGACGCTCACCTGGGGGGCAGCCGAGGTAGCAGCGGCGCCAGGGGGCAGCGTGAGCCTGGGGATGGAGCCACCGAGAGACGAGGGCGCGAGTCGGTGCTCGGACAGCGTCGGAGTGTAGGGACGAAGGAGGAGGAGGGGGAGGAGGAGGAGGAGGAGGAGGAGGAGGAGGAGGAGAAAGAGGAAGAGGAAGAGGAGGACGAGGAGGAGAAGGAGGAGGAGGAGGAGCACTGTCGTCGCCGGGGTACGTCGGTCCCCAGCGGTAGTTGAAGGTGTCCGGCCAAGTCAGGCGTCGGTCGTAGGCGTCTTCTGCTTCCGCGGCGAAGCGATGCAAGGAGATGCGCCTGACCCTCACGCCCGCGGTGCCGTGGACGGCGCCGAAAGCGTCGTTCAGGCAAAAGGCCACCACCACCACCACCACAACCACCACCACCACCACCACCACCACCACCACCACCACCACCACCACCACCACCACCACAAAGCCATGCATCCAGGAGCCATGCATGACACCACCACCACCACAATTCAAAGGCGAGAGCACAAAAACCGAGTCATTCGAGTGGTCCCCACCAAGGCGCGTGGCCTGGAGCGCCGGACGCGCACGGAGCCCGAGGCACTGGTCTGCCGTCGACGTGTCGGGCCCGATGGGGGCACTCGTGCGCCGTCCCCGGGGTCTGAGATCGGGTCGGCTCTCAGCGATCAGGGCAGGGTGAAACCAGGTAAGCACCGATTGCCCAAAGTGCCCGGAGTGAGATGGCGCGACGGCCCGGTGAGAGCGGCGACCGTCCTGGGCCGCGGGGAGCCGTGGGAGCGCTCTCGTCTGGAGCGTTGCGGTGCTGCCTTCGTCGGCGGGGGGCCCTGGTGGCGCCTGCGTCTTCATGAGGGTTCGGTTCCGATTGGTACCCGTCACCTGATTCACTACCTTGGTGGTGTGGTAGTAATGGGTGTCGCCATCGGTCGAGCAGTCAACGGTCGGTCGTCGGCGGTCGTTCTGGCGGTCGGCGGACTGTCGTCGGCGGTCGTCGGACGGACGGTCGGCGGACGGTCGGCGGCGGTCGCCGACGCATGGGCTGGCTGGAGTGCGGGCCTGGTGGCCACGCAGCGGAGGTCGGTCGTCGGACACTGGTCTGTCGGAATGACGGTCGCTGGTCGTCATCGCCAAGGAGCGAGGAATCGACCGTCGGCCGTCGTCGCCGAGGAACGAAGAATCGACCCTCGGTCGCCGGCGGCGGTCGTTGCGGCAGCCGGCGGACTTGTCGTCGGCGGTCGTTGGGGCGAACGCGGGCGCCCACTCGAGGACAGGCCGGAGCGGCAGCCCGGCAGCCTGGTGCGCCAGTGAGGTCCGTCGGCCGCTCGGCGGAGGGGGCCAGAGGCGGACCACGGCGAGTGGGACCGCCTGCCGCTCGGGCCCGGCGGTCCTCGTGGCCGATGTCCCCGAGGGTCGGCGGGCGACTGCGCGGAGGGCTGCTGTGAGCTGCCACGTGCGAACCCGACCCCTGCCCCCCAACGATTTCTGAGGGGGAGGGGGAGGTTCACTTCGCTCGGGAGCTCCCGAGCGAAGTGAACCCCACCCCTACCCCCTCAGATATCGTGGGGGGTAGGGGTCGGGTTCGAACGTGGCCCCCTAGCTCCGCCGCTCGGTTCGGCGGAGAATCGTCGGACGTCGGCGGCCACTAGGTCAGCGGACGGTCGTCGGACGCAGCGGAGACATCCCTGGGAGTCGGAGGCCACTCACGCGGAGGGTCACATCGGACTGCGCCAGGGGGGACAACCTGGAGTCTGGCTAGACTGTCGGCCTGGCTGCCACTGAGCGGGACCACAGATGGTCTTCGGACACTCGGCGAAAGGGTCGTAGCGAACCGCGGCGGGCGGTCTGGCTGCAGGGTGGGTCTGGTGGCCCTCTGGGCAAGCGCCCATGGTAGTCGTGCTGTTCGGGGGGAACTCCGGGTGGCCATCGACGTCGGTCGGGGCCGGGCGCCCAGTGGCCTCCTTGCCCTGCGGGTGGAGCGGTTTCGGCTTGGAAAATACGTGATCCCGGTGATCCTGTAGGTCTCCACGCAGACCGCCGCTGATCGTCGCGGACAACGCGAAGATCGGCACGGACGGCGCGGAGCTCGTGCACTGTGAGGTCTTCATGTAGATCAGCCGGCCGGTCGGGGGGATCAAGGGCAAGTAGATCAAGCAAAGCCTGGTCGTCACGTACGGGGACTCGGAGGAGGTAGTTCCTGTGCTGGGCGAGTCGCACACGCAACGCACGTGGTAGCCGAAATAGGGGCCGCAAAACGCTGCGCACGGCAGCAGCCGCCCTCCAGAATCGGGCACATCGGGGCGCTGAAGAAATCGCGGGATCCAGGATTGGGCCAGTGGGGTCGGCCAGCGCTTCGGTCCTGGTAGACCATTCGAGCTGCCAGGCCGCTAGCGCATATGTGGTCTCGCTCGAGTTCGCGCTGAGCTCGACCCTGGCGAATGTGCTCATAAGGATTGGGGGTGGCCGCAGCAATTTAGTCCAGGGTGCTCTGGCGGTCGCTATCCCTTCCGGAGTAACGGCCACAGGAGTTCCAGGCATCCTCTGTCGGTGCCGCAGTCGTTGGTGTTCCTGGTGACGTCGGAAGTTCACGCTTAGGCCCTGGCGCGGGTTCACCATGGCTGCTACTGGTATGGGAAGTCCCGTGATCGGCCCTGTGAAGCGGAGGCGCGATGAAGACGTCCCCCTTTGGTGCGTCACTGCTGATGAGAAGAGCGGTGACATTGCCCTGGTGGGCGTCGGCTTCGACCGTGGAACCTGCTGGTGCGGCGTCAATACCGCTCGCCCTTGAGCTTACGCTTGTCGGAGCGGCATGTACAGTATATGTTGTTAATGTCGTCTTGTTGTTTGTGAGCAAGTTGGCTGTGAGCAGCGACTGCTCGGTCGACGCCACCACTGCTCTGGAGTGCGGCGGCGCAAACTTCCTGTCGGCTGAGGTTGTTGTCCTGCCGACTCGCTTAGTTTGGGAGCCCCTTACCTGACGGCTCGGGCTGCGGCGGGCTACGAAGCGCACGGCGATGGCTCTTTAGATCTATTGCGGCGCGCGCGGGAACATGTCGGAGGGTGTGACACGACCCTGTCCTGTGGTGAGGGCCACGGGTCCAATCTCGCCATGCTCGCTATGGAATGCTGGGGAGGGGGTCGCGTTTGGGCTACGCCCTGGGCCTGGAGACCCTCGAACCGAGACGAGAGAGAGAGAGGGAGAGCGAGGGAGAAAGAGGGAGAGAAAGAGAGAGAGAGAGAGAGAGCGAGAGAGAGAGAGAGAGAGCGAGCGAGAGAAAGCGTGTTGCAACGGAACGCGCGCATGCATCCCCCACCCCCCCAACTGGATTGTTGGTGGGATGCGCTGGTGCGCGCTCGCGATGCGCGGGTCCCAGCCCCCCCACCCTGCCTCGGCTGCGCCCGGGAGCGAGCTCCCTCCTCGCTGGCGCCCCCACGCCGCCCCCTGAGAGGGGTGACGATGGCATGCGTCGCACTTCCTCGCGGGCGCATCGCCGCGCGACTACCGGCGGACGACGACGGCGGCGAACGACCAACGACAAGCGAGTACAAACAGGCGACGAACGACAAACGACGAACGACGAACGACGACGACGACGACGACGACGCGCGACGAGTGACGAATGGTGACCAGGACGACGACTGTCGACGAACGGCCAACGACGAATTACGGACGACAAGCGACGAACGTCGAACGACGTCGCACATGCGGGCGTATCGCAACGCGACCACCACGCGTGGGGTGGGCGGGGGGTCTGCGTGAAAAATTGACATGTGTTCTCGGGAACCCTCGGGCCGCGTCAGGGCTCCTCGGGCGCGGACTCGCGCGTCGCATCGGCGGCGGGCTCGGCGCGCGATACTCGCGCGCGGGGGCCGGCGCGCTGCGCCGAGCAGCCCCCTCGCGCGTCTGTGCAGCGCCCGCGCGCGCCGGGAAGGCCTCGCGCGCAGCATCGGCGAAATCTCGGAGCGCAGCCTCGCGCGCCGGAGCAGCGCTCGAGCGCGCTGGCGAGGACCAGCGCGTCGCGCCGCCGGCGGCCTCGGCACTGCGACTTTCGCGCGGGAGCCGGCGCGCGGCGCCAAGCAGCTTCCTCGCGCTGGCTGGCAGCGCTCGAGCGCGCGAGGCCAGGCCTCGCGCGTCGCATCGGCGGGACGATCCTTTCGGCGCCGCGGCCTCGATCCGCGAAGGAGATGGCGCCCCGCTGCGCGGCTGGGCACGCGCGCTCGCGCGGATGTCGCTGCGGGTGCGCCGTGAACGCGCCGCATAGCGGGCGTTAGCGCTACGCGAACACCGCGCGGGGGGAGGGAACGGGGTCTGCCAGAAAAGAATTCGACCTGCTTCCTCGGGGTCCGTCAGGCCGCGTCGACTGGGGCTTACCGGGGGCTTCCTGTGGTTTCCTGGGGGCTCCTGTTCCCCCAAGGCTTCACACTCCTGGAGCGTCTGGAAGGGCCTGGGAACATCTCAGATGTCTGGGAGCGCCTGGAAGCGCCGCCTGGCGCTGCCTCGGGGCGTTTGGGCGTTCCTGGAGCGTTTGGGGGCGCCCGGGGGCGCTTGGGATCGCCTGCGGAGCGCCTGGGGCCGCTTGGGAGCGCGTGGGCGCTCCTGCAGCGTCTGAGAGCGCTGGGGAGCGCCTGGGAGCGTCGGGGGCGCGGATCCTCTGGCTTTTAGAAAGGATCCGGGGGCGCCGACTGGGTCCATTTTTGGCCAAGCGCCGCTCGCCCTCGGGAGCTTCCGACATTGATTTGGAGCTTGCGGTGCCGGCAGGCCTCGTCAAAGACTCCCCGCGGCCCAGATTCGATCCAGAGAGGGGGCGATGAACAGTGCTGCGCACAAGGTGAGGGAGGCGTGACCAGCCTTCCGCAACGCTCGAAGGCACACGAGTTGACTCTCGCCCGCCGACGTACTGCATCCGGCACTCCGCCGATCGCTGTCAGGACCGACGCTCGCTCTGGAGAGGAAAACTGTAAGCAATGCGACAAGGAACGCGCGCGCACGCATCAACCCACGGCGTGGGTTGCTGGAACCACTCTCCCTCGTAAAACTTGGGCGCTGGAGCCCACCCTTCTTGACGGCATGACCCGCTGGAGCCATTCCCTCGCAAAAATGGGGCACTGGAAACCCCCGTGAAGGCCTTCAAAATATTGGTAAGGTCCGGGGGGGGTACGGGGCCCACGGGTGGGCGTCCTGGCATTGCAGCCACGCCTGGCCCACACACGGGGGCAGCCCGCGTGCGCGCGCGCGCGTGCGCGAGTGCGTGCGCGCTTGTGCGCGCGTGCGCGCGCGTACGTGAGCGTACGTGAGCGTGCGCGAGCGTGCGCGTTCGAGCGCGTTCGAGCGCGTTCGAGCGCGTTCCTGCGCGCGCGCAAATATTCGAGCGCGAGCGCGAGCGCGAGCGCGAGCTCGAGCGCGAGCCCGACCCCGGGCGCGAGCTTGGGACCGAACCCGAACCCGAGCCCCATCCAGAGGGCTTGAGCGCAGGTGCTCGTGCGCGCGTGTGTGCGTGCGCACGTGTTTCCGATATGTCGACACGGGCCCAAATTTTTCACTACCAACAATACTGATTTGACTGTAGGACAGGGAGGAGGAGCTAGACACGGATGAGCAGAAGTCGGAGCAGAGAAGTATCAGCAAGAAGGAGGAGGAGGAGGAGGAGGAGGAGGAGGAGGAGGAGGAGATCGAGGAAGAGCAGGAGGATCAAGGGGAAGGCGGAGGAGGGGAAACGAGGAACGAATCGGATCCGGAAACGCGGCCCGCGATGGGGCCCGATCGCCGTTCTGAACGACGAAATCAAAGCACCGATCGTGGAATGTGGCCTACGCTACAACTGTACACCGGGAGTTGTCCAGGCGACTGCAACGAAGGACCCATGGGAGCCCTTCTGCAGAGTGCGAAATTCCAGGGTGCGCCGAAGAACACAAGGGGTCTGGTCTCCGCGGAAGCGAATAAGAAATCCCTGGAGAGGGGTTCGATCACAACGGCTCGAGCTCGGGGGTCCGGAAGAGGAATGAACTTTCAGCCGCGGAGGTGCCCGCGCGCGGGGTTCCACCCCCCTCGGGCCAAGGGTCCAAGGTTTCACAAGTCACCGCGAGGGGGGGCGCCCTGCGGGGGGAAGAAATTCATCCGGTTGGAGGGGCGGTCGGGCATGAGTCGTGGAGGCGATCAGCGGGATTACCCACTCTAGAGGGAGCGAGAACGAACGCTCCCATCGCACAGCGCCTTGTGAAGTAGCAGAGTTTGCAATGCCGCACGTATGCGCGATTGTGCGCTTGCGTGCTCTTCTCTGAGCGTTTTCGCGCCGATCTTGGAACCTTGATCGGTCTGCGTCTCTGCCTTGCCGCGCTACCACACGAGGTGGTAAATCCTGTCTGTGCGTGCCCCGCCGACCGCCGACTGCCGTCATCGGCGAGTGAGGGGAACAAGTGTATGTGTGCTTGCGAGAAGCAATGAGCACGCGAGAGACAGCGATAGAGAGAGAGAGAGAGAGCGATAGGGGGAGTGCGCCGGCACATCGTCAAGGGAGATCAAAGAAAATTGTGCTCGTCTGGGGTTCCCCCGTAGGTTCTGAGTCGTTGGCATACGGTGCGGGGCTTTTCCCACGGCCAGCGCCTGCGGCCGCCCATGGGCGCCTCATGAACGCATCGTTTGCTGGCTGGCGGTTCCAACCGCACAGGAGGAGGAGGAGGAGGAGGAGGAGGAGGAGGAGGAGGAGGAGGAGGAGGAAGAGGAGGGGGAGGAGGAAGGAGGAGGGAGGAGGAGGAGGAGGAGGAGGAGGAGCGAGGAGGAGGAGGAGGTAGGAGGAGGAGGAGGAGGAGGGGAGGGGATGGGGGAGAGGAGGAGGAGGAGGAGGAGGAGAGAGGAGGAGGAGGAGGAGGAGGAGAGGAGGAGGAGGAGGGGGAGGAGGAAGGAGGGAGGAGGAGGAGGATAGGAGGAGGAGGCGGTTGCAATTTTGTTCGCCTGGTCGCCACCCGGGGACGCTCGCCAGCCTCGTGGCAACGGCGACGACGTCGTCGTCGACACCGCAGGCGACGACGGCGACGGCGCCGCCGACACCGCAGGAGACAACGCCGTCGGCACCGCAGGCGGCGACGGCGGCGACGGCGCCGTCGACACCCTGAGCAACGGCTGCGACGGACACGGCGACGGCGGCGCAGGCGGCACGGGCGACGGCGGCACTGGCGACGACGGCGGCGGCGACGGCGACGCCGCGCCAGCGGAAGACGCGCCCCGAGTGGGGTGGCAAGGGCCTGGGGGAAGTGGCTGGCCGATGCGGTCGCGGTCACGACCGTCGCGGGGACCAGGGGCACGGACCTCGAGTCGCGGTTTTCGGTGTGCTTCCGCCCTGGTCTCGCTCCTCCTCCTCCTGCTCATTTCTCTCTATACCACCGTACACTCATTGTGATTATTGCTCTCCTCCGCCCTCTTCCTCTCCTCTTCCTTTCTCCCTCTTCCCTCTTCCCTCTTCCCTCCTCCCCCTTCCTCCCGTCTCATAATCCTCCTCCTCCTCCTCCTTCTGATATTTTATCCCTCGCTCCCTCCCTCTCTCCCTCTTCTTCTTCCCGACCGCCCCTTCCCACTTTTCCCTAGAAGAAGCAATAATACGACTACTGATACTAATACTAATAATAATAAATAATAATACTAATAATAATAATAATAATAATAATAATAATAATAATAATAATAATACTAATAATAATAGTAATAATAATAATAATAATAACAATAATAATAATACTAATAATACTAATACTAATAATAATAATGATAATAATGTTAATAATAATACGAATAATAATAAAAATAATAATACTAATAATAATAATAAGAAGAAGAAGAAGAAGCAGAAAAATAAAAAGAATAATCATACTAATATTGATAATACTCGTAGTCATCGTAGTAATAATAATAACGATAATACCACAAACTTTTGGCGCTCCGCGCGGATTTCTTGGATCTGCGCTGGACCCTCTCTCCCTGGCGCGCGGAGCGCGCCAGGGGCGGCGCCGGAGGCGCCGCTGGGAGGGGGGGCCCAGCGCGGATCCAAGAAATCCGCGCGGCGCGCTCCCAATTCATGTCTATGGCGTTTGTTTCTTCTTCGAGTCTCTTGAGCCCCCACCGCCCCTTCGGGGATCTTCTGACCCGGGTCAATCCAGACCCGGGTCAGCAGGAAACCAAAAACTGCAATGCAGGAAAAAAAACTGCAACGCAGGTCTTCGCAGACCCGGGTCAGCCAATACGCGCGTCCGCCTCGCGGCCACGAGCGGCTCCCTAACCCGGGTCAGCCAGAGGGGGTCTTCGCAGGATCCTGCAGGATCTGGCGCCCTGGCTGACCCCCGTTTGCATTGACCCCCGTCTCGAGGCTCCCGACCCCTTCTCACTTCCCCCCCCCCGGCTCGCCGCCGAGAGGGCCCTTCCCCATCCGCGTAGGCTCGGGGGGGCGCGCGGCCTCGCCGCGTCGCCGGGCGAGAGCGGGGGCCTATAGCTGCTGCCCTCGGAGGTGCGCGAGCCGCCCAGGAGCGGCTGGCCGACGCCGGGCACCTGGCCAGGGGGGGGGGGG